TAGGAGACCAAGGAGTATCTTCACAAAGTTGAGGACCTGAGACCCCCATTGGACCTCTGCTGCCCACTGGCCATGTGCCTTTGGGGTGGCCAGCACCCCAGCCTCCCCATCCACGTGGCCTCCACCCTCTCACTCTCCGAGGGCTCATGGAGAAGCCCACTTACCAACACAGGCTCCTGCCTACCGAGGCTCAGGCCAAGGGGCCTGCTCAGGTGACCAGGTGACTCTAAGACGTGACCCAGGTCCCCTGCCTTTCACCTTGTCACCCAGTACCTGCCAGCCTGAGGGACTGAAAGGCTCCTCAGAGGCTTGGCCGCAGTCAGAGTGAGCTCAGGTGTTGGGAACTATCCTGAGAGACAGTGCATCTCGGCCGAGAGGTGCCCCCACCCCGGCAGCCCAGGGCCGCAGCCTGCTTCCAATCCTCTGCAGGGTTGGTCATCGCTGTCACCCTCCTGCCCCAGCCCACCACCCCCATCCCCACTGCCCTGGCCCCTTCCCAGTGGGCCTTCCCCTGCCTTGAGCCTGGGTACCGGCCACGCTCCTCCTGCCCCTGCTGGGGAGGCCGTGACCGAGCTCTCCACCTCCTAACTCTGGACCTCTGACCCCCGGCGGGGGATGGCCTGACTTGTCCCCACAGTCCTGACCACCACTCAGCTCATCTGGCCATACCCTCAAGGGGTTGGCTGCTCTGGATGGAGGTCACCCTGTGTCCTCGGCGCAAGGCAGCGGCCCAGCAAGCTCTGGGCTGGGTATGAATGGAGGCGTGAATGGGCCATCCTGAGCCCGTTCCCCAGGGAGCTTCCCGCCCAGTTATGGTCAGCAGCACACTCCAGAAGCCAGGCTCTGCGCGGGTGCAGACTCTCAGGAATGCTTTGGCAGCACAAAGAATTCGGCTCAAAACCCCAACTGGACTTCTTATCTGAAAGGATTGCACAGAGCCTTGGAATGTGCTTTGATCCTGACTGGCCCCTAGAGCACAGGCAAAGCAGGCCTGGCCAGGGGCCGCGGGGGGCCCTCTGCTCCTCGGCCAGCGCACAGGCTGGGGGTGTGACAGGTCCTCCTGAGGTTGAGGCTGAGCCTTGGGCTGTGGGGACGCTCTCCGGGGGGCCTCCCCTCTCGGGCCTGGTTGGCACTCTGTTGGGAGTTAATGGCACCCTCGGCTCTCAGCCAGGAGTGGCCCAGATGTGGGCCCAGTGAGGACCACGTCCACCAGCCCCAGGGACATCCAAGTTCCCTCTCCTCCTGCGTCTTCCACAACACCTCCAGCCTCGGCCCCCTCTCCAGCTCAGGGCCCTCGGGGAGTCTTCAGCAGGGAGCCAGGATTCCCTCTCCAGCCGGAATGTCCAGCAGAGGCCGACCCTCCCTGCACCGCAAGGCCTGAGGGGAGGGGGAGACAGGGAAGGGACCTTCTTGTCACAGGTGGCCAGGAGGCCCGAGTGGTGCAGGCGGCCCTGGAGTTGGAAGCTGGACCAGCCCGGCTCCCCGAGCCTTTGTTCCTGGTGACCCTCGCGTGGCTTTGATCTCCCACCCCAGGCGCTGCCTACCAAACGGGAAAAGCTTCTGGCCGGGGTCAGCAAGCGCACGGGCCTGAGCCTGGGAGGCTGTTGACACTGTGCTGTGCTATGAGCCACTCTGCAGCAGGCTCAGGCCCCACGGCCACTGGCCTGGGGCCCATTTCTGGCCACAGGAGGATCCTGTTTTTAGCTCAGGTCGTGTGTGATGAAACCCTGTCACGCAGACCCCCGTGACAGGAGGAGCAGCAGCGTCACCCCAGGCTCCTCTGACAAGCAGCAACGAGCCCCGATGCTGTCCAGAATGTCCCTCCAGGGTGGCAGCAGGATGGGGTGGGAGAACCCTGCTCGCGGGAGCTCACGGGACGGGCAGGACAGGGTCGAGCAGGAACCCTCCTCCTGGCTGTCCTTGGACAGCAGTTACTCTGGGCTGACCCAGGCTAATTGCCCTTTACCCCCGAGCTCACCGATTCCTTCCACAAAACCAGTGTGGCAAGACCACGTCACCAGGATTTGGGAAACGGAAGGCCCTGGAGGGTCACCAAGAGTCCAGGTGAGTCAAGATTGGAACCCAGGCCATCTGAATCCAGAGCTGCTCCCTCAGGAGCCCCGGGTGGAGGAGACGGTCCAACCAGAGCAGAGCTCCTTCCTGCACAGCGGCGCCAGGGAGCCAGAGGACAGAGCCGGGAGGGGGCTCTGCTCAGGCACCCGCTCCCGGCTCTCCTCCCTGGGAGGTCCCCAAGTCAACTGGCAGTGCCCCTGGGAAGGGTTAGGGTTCCCAGTCTCTCTGGCTTCCTGTTTGGTGATGTAAGCTCTTCTTCTCATACATGCCCCTGTCCTCCACCATGAGTCCTCACCAGAGCCAAGCTGATGCCAACAGCATATCCCCAAATCTCCATGACCTACATAAGCCTTTTTTTTTCCTTTTAAAGACAACCTGCCTTGGGTATTTTGTTATGGTAACAAAAACCAACTTAAACATTGTCTCATAGTTTTCATGCTGAAGTGTGGTTCAGTCATTTCCAACTTCCATTGCCTCCCCCCATAAGTCCTGAGGGAAAGGACCTTCCCTTCTGATAATATTTGGCATCAGTATCTACCACAAATAGAGCCTCCTCACTTCTACAAATGAGGCTCTGGAGCCTTGATAAAGGAAACCCGTCATGGACAGTGAGGAACTGATTTGAGCATCGACCATACGCTGGGTATTTTGCAGCACGAATCTCCTTTAATCCAAACCGTGGGTTCGGTGGGGTTACCTTGTCTTATAGGAAGGACACAGGCTCCAAGAGGGAGCCTGAGTTTGGATTTAAGCCCAAGCTGTGAACCCCAAAGGCCCCGAACCCCTGTCAACACCTTCCACAGAGTTCTCACTTGGCCATATCTTCTGGGAGGGCCATGCAGGGTGGAGTGGCACCTATGACACCTCAGTCCTCCCTGCACAGCTGGACTCTGATTATCAAAACCAGGGCTCTCTGCAACGTGTCCTTCCCTCTCCGTGTCCATCACAGGGCCAGCGAGGACCAGAGGTTCAGAAATGACCCTACACCCTCGGAGAATGGGAGTGAGGCAGTGCTGTATGGGGCCACGCCTCTCAGTGGGGAGGGCCGTGGGCTGCACCTCAGAGCCCCCAGACCTGAGGCTGGCCCTTGCAGCCAGCTGGAGACCGAGCGGGCAAACAGGCCCCGGCCGACCACAGGTAAACCCAGGGTCTGACCCACGCCTCGGGGACAGACCAGGAGAGCAGCCCAGTACCTCCAGTGGCAGCCCAGGGGGCCTCTTATCCGCACCCAGCCCAGGGGACTGCAGAAGTCAGCCCACTCCCCCTGTAACTGCACCCTCCAGGGGTCGCCCAGACCCCAGGCCGCTACTAAAACCCGGCAGCTTCCCTGATCTTTGGGCTTATTCCAACTTCGGAGGAAGCAGAGACCGCCCCACAGGCTTCCTACGCTCCCCAGCAGCACTTCCGCCAGCCCTGCGGCCTCCCCACCGCAGCCTCCGCCTGGGCCCTCGGCTCGGAGTCCTTCCTGCTCTCCACTGACGGGCCCCTGCCCTCTGCCCGCCTTGCGGTCAATGCAAGTGTGGTGGCGACTGTCCTGCTCTGGCCGGCTCTGAATCGTCAGCTTTCCCATTCTTGCTTCTTGTCTTTGCCAAGGGCACTCACTACCTGAGGGCCCCCCGGGGCTCAGGGTCAGTTAGCAGCATCTGCCATGGCCACAGGCTTGGGGGTCAGAGCACAGACCAAGGACCTTTCCCTGCCTACAGCCCTTCAGCTGCATCAGCCAGAGAGAGGCCCGAGTCACGGCCCCCTCCGCCACCCTATTCCAGCGACAGGCAGCCATGGGGGAGGAGGGGACTGCCCGCCCACAGCGTCTAGCAAGAGGACAGCTCGGGGCTGGGCAGTTTCCACTCTCGCCCCTACTCACACTGGGATGAAAGAGCGAGCTTGGGAGCGCGGAGGGCAGCAGTAGATGTCCCCAGAGTCTGTCCTCCAGACATGAGTCAGCAGAATGGACGAGAGCCCGTGGCCAGAGTCCCCTCTGGGCAGTGCTGCCCAGCAAGAAGCTGACCCCCTCAGCATGCTGCAGTCAGTGTGTGAAGCAACCCCCAACAGGGACATCTCCAGGACCCCGGGCAGGATCAAGTGCCATTCTCAGCTGTGGGCACCTGGCCGCCAAGCTCCTCTCTAAGGAGCACTCGGGGAAGCCCTGGGCTGAGCCCTAGGGAGCGGGGAGGAGGACTTCCTGAGCAGGGGTAGCTGCTCGGGCTCTGCCTGAGCAAGGTGAGCCGGCCTGACTGGGGCTCATGGTGGTGGCCTTAGCGAATCTCAAGGACAGAGCCACTCAGGCGAGAAGGGCCACCTGCACCCTGTCTGATGAAAGTAAGATGGGAAAGTCCCTGTGTTTGGTGCCCAAGGGAAATGGACACCCTATCCCACTGTTGGTAGAGGGAGCAGGTGGCTCTCCCGTAGGTCCCTCGTCACTGTATGAAAACGCAGGTCTTCAACTGGGATTGGTAGTCCTCACCTGGAGAGCCAGCTGGGAGACAGCCAGCCGCACACAGGAAGGCTGCTGCAGTGCGTTTGTTGGTTGGTTCATACCTAGTCCTGGGGGCTGAACCAGGAGCACTATCATGGAGCTACACCCCAGCGCATTTTCTTTTTTGAGACTTGCTAAGTTACTGAGGCTGGCCTCAAACTTCCGATCCTCCTGCCTCAGCCTCCCTAGTGGCTGGGATTACATGGGTGCAACTCTGCACCCAGCAGAAGCATTCTTTATCTTGATGAACAAGGGGACCTTCCTCAGTGTCCCTCAGGAGCAGACAAGAGGGCCAGAGTGTGCTGTGCTCGTTGCAGCAGAGCAGGCATCTGGCCTGGAAGGCCATTCACGAGGACAGGGAGATGCCTATCTCAGCCCAGCCCAGCACCTCCTCACCAAGGGAGGGGTCCACTCGGGAAGAGCCGTGAGGCCCAGCGTGCGCCTGCCCCTCTGCCCCTCTGGCCCCGCTGCCCCTCCGGCCCCACTGCCCCTCAGGCCTCGTTTCCATACCCTTGGGTGAGACAGGACAGAGTGAATGACGAGGATGCTCACCAGGACCTGGAGGTGTCCTGCCACCAGCAGACCCCTCGGAATGTGACCAGCATGCTCAGGCCCCAAAGGACCCCAGGGTTGTGCCCACCCTCCCTGCGAGCTGCAGGAGGCAGGGCCAGAGACCCAGGTCCCCTGCTCATGCCCAGACACGGGACAGCACCCAGGACCTGCCCAGCTGGGAGAGCTGCAGCCTGCTCACCAGCGTAGATGTGGCCCCTGAGAGTCCCAAGAGGTGCACGCGAGAGCCAGAAGGCCCTGTGGAGGTCGCTGCCCGTCCCTCTCTGCGTGTCCCTGCAGGGCTGTCCGACCGTCAGACCCGGCTGAAGTGTGTGAACGTCCACGGTGAGCACACAGGCTCTCGGTGGAGAAAAACATGCTTTTAATGAGTGGCCGAGAGATGGTCACCAAGAACCTCTGGAGGGTGGCGGGGCTAACCTGGCATTGGCACCCGGCCAAGGAAGGCCATGAACTGGGCATTGCCTGGTCCTGCCCCAGGAGGGAAGCTCTCCATGGCCAGATAGGGCCACCTCGGTGATCTTCACAGTGTCCCCAACGACACCCACACAGGCCCAGCTGCTGCCTCCACTCCTGTCCCAGGCCACCCAAGCACATGTCTGCCCTGAGCTCTCCCCAGCCACCCTGGCCTGGGGGAGGGGCAGGAGGCCCTGCGCAGGACCTGGCACGGTGGCAGCAGTTAGGAAAGCTCAGTCTCACCTCGAAGTAGCTGTGAGGGCTGGGCACACCCGCCCCTCCCTGGGCCCCTGTCCACGTCCTCCCAGCACCAAGATGGAGCCGACTCCTTCGCGGTCCCGCCCAGCCCCGGGAATCCTGTGGCCTCACGGGTCCTGGTTATCATCCCTGGACAGACCCTGAGGCCCAGCACCACGAGCTGAGAATCTGATTCCAGAGCTGAGCACTCCGCGGAGACCTGAGGAACACGCCCCCCTGCCAGTCAGGCCTTACATGGAAAACCCACGTCTGCTGGCCTCCCCTGGGCATCTGGGCCTCGTTAGGCTCTGGGTCTGGACAGAGTGTAACACTTATTCCCGCAGCGATGACATGTCTCCCGGCTCTGAGGCACAAAGGCTGGAGCCAGACGCTGGTGTGGTCTCCATTGTCCTGAGATGCAGACCCACCTCTGACACCGCAGGCCCTGCCCCTGGCCAAGCAGGACCACAGCAAGGCAGGACAGCACGGGACCTGGGCCTGGCCGGGCCTAGATCCAAATCCGCTTCTACAAATATAATCCTGAGCGCATTCCTCGGCCCCATGAGCCCAGTCCTCCATGGTCAAGCTTGAAAGGGTTTCTCTGGGTGCTCCGTGGCAAAGGCAAGCTCAGCCCAAGATGCGGGGGAGGCCCAAAGAGCTGGGCAGTGGGCGCCCGGGAGCCGCCACGGGCCAGCAGAGGATGCGAGGGTGGGTCATCACCCTGCTCCGTCTCCTCTGGGTGTCCATCTCCATGGTACAGGCATGTCCCAGGGACTGCGCCCTGACCGTCCACCGGCTTCGTAGCGTGCCCTGCCCTGGGTGGGTTCTCACACACCTACCAGAATTTCCTGGGGTCACCTCCAAAGACCCACTCGCGCCTGAGTCTGTGCTCAGACTGCTTCTGAGGGAGCCCAGCCGAGCGTACTGTGCCCACACTCGCAACATTTTCCACTTGGTGTCAGGGGTGTGGCATGGGGCCCAGGCTCAGGGGGTCCCAGACTCAGAAGCTGGTCGCTGCTTCCCCGCAGTGACTCAACATGGGGCTGGCCATGTCTCCCCAGGGGCAGTGATGGCAGTAGCAATGACACAGTTAGTGGTGACATCTCCCCAGAGGTAAGAAGCACCCTGGGTTTGGGGTCCCCTTGTTCTCCTGTAAGTTGGCCCCACGTGTTCATCCTTGGGGACATGTGGCTTAGAGGGCTGTTGGAACTGTACCTGGCTTCTTGTGTTCACGTACCTAAAGATCCTGCAGGGTCACTGGTGTTTCGCTGTCTGAGCACATGGCCAAGCACCAATGCTGTGGGTGGACCGTGGGGCTGCTGGTCAGGGCTCCCAGGCCTCAGTGCTGGGAACCTGTTGGTGACAGCTCTCCAGCACGGGTGAGCTTCCCCAGGAGAGGTGCTGCTGAGCTGCAGCTGGGACCCGTTCAACACGCAGACTGGCTCTAACTGCGGGTCCGTGGTTCCCCACCGCACAGAGCCTTGGCATTCCACCCACCTGATGCCCGTTCCTGCCCAGTGAGGCACAAGGGCGGGAGCACTGTCCCCCTGTGACAGACACTCAGCAGCTTGCCAGACCCGTGAGCAGCCAAAAGCGGGACACCTGCCCTTGCCTCTCCGGGGCAGGCCTGGCTCTGGAGGGAGGTGACTGCCCCACTGTACTCCCAGGAACCCAAGGCCAGCCTGCAGGGGCCCAGGGCAACTTGTCCTCTCCGTATCCTCTTTAAGCCCAGGTCGGACTCGGCCAGGCCCGCACAACCTCAGGAGGCCCCTGAGAGGGAGGTATGAGGTTGCAGACTCGACTCATCCCTCCCTGACGCGCAGAAGCTGACGTTCGGACCCTGCTCCTCCCCTCCCCCACCCCCTACAGAGAGCACACGCCAGGCTGGGCTCCTGTGGGTGGGGCACAGCTCAGAAGCTGCGACCCCCTTGTGGGGAGAGTTCCAGACGGCCTGGTCACCCACTTTGAGTCCATGCCCTCGGGTGACCCTCCCTGAGTAGGTCACTCAGCCTAGTAGGTGAGACTCACCTGCCCGCAAAGGTCACGTGACTGTGGCCTTGGCCCCTCCCCTTGGCACTGCCTCTTCCCGGTCCCTGTCCTCCTGCCCCCTGGCAGCGACGGCTGTCAGTCTGAAGAATGTGAGCAGGTCTGGGATCCTCCACCCCTTGGCTGGGTACCTTTGCCCTTCCCTTCCCACCTCTGAGCCTCAGTTCCCTCCCCAGAGAGAGGGAGTCTGGGGTCTGGAGCCTCCCAGTGCCTAACTGGCCCACGTCTGTGTGAGCCCTGTGCAGCCTCAGGTGGAACAGAGGACCCTCTGCCCCGCGGAGCCCCTGTTCGGCTGAGAGGCTGGTTTCCAAGCCTGCTGTTTTATTCTAGACCCATCTATCTGCCACAGGGAAGGCCACAGCCTTCTGTCCTGGGGGAGAGGCCTGGAGGTGTCCCCTGTCACCCAGGAGAGCACTATGATGAGCAGGGGACATCCAGCCCAACAGGGGAACATTCCAGAACGTCCAGAGAGTGAGGAGGTGGAGCAGGTGGGGCCTGTGGCACATCAGGGCCACAGTCCCTGGGCTCAGAGGGGAGGAGCCTGGGGTCCACCCCAAAGGAGCCAGGAGAGGGCACAGAACAGGGGGCGGGCCTTCGCCAGGACTCAGTGGGCAGGAAGGCAGACCCAGGGCCATCTGTGTGTCATCTGGCCAGGGGTTGTCTGCCAGGACCCGCTCCATCAGGAGCCCGAGGAGTGGAGGCCTAGAGACCAGCTCTCCAGGTCACTGAGCAGGAGGGGGTGGGGTCCGAGCACCGACGGGAGGGGCACGAGCTCAGAAGCTGCGACCCCCTCGTGGGGAGAGTTCCAGACGGCCTGGTCACCCACCTTGAATCCATGCCCTCGGGTGACCCTCCCTGAGTCGGGGCAGAATTAGCCAACAGACTATGGAGAAGGGAGGGTGGGTCCCTTCTGAGGCTACATTACATAGGACCTTGACATCCATCTCCCTGAACACGGGCCCCGGCTGGCTTGGCTGCAGCCAGCTGTCATTCTGGGGAGCCCTGGTGGCCATGAACTGGGACACCCAGCCAGTGGCCTGCAGCAAACAGAGGCTCTTAATTCTACATCCACGAGGAGTTGAGTTCTGCCAGCAGAGAGCCTGGGAGCCAATCCTTCCCAGGCTGGCTGGGTCTGTGTGGCCAGGGGCAGCAGCACCGGCTAACTGACCCGCGACTTGGACCCGCAAGTGGAGCTGTTAAAACAGGTGCCGGCTGAGTATCCTCCACCAGAGATGCTCAGGACCAGGGTGTTTCAGGTTTCAGAGTTTTCCAGATTGGGGGAGATTGTTGTAGACTTTCCCCGCTGAGTATCCCTGATGCAAAAATCTAAAATACACTGAAATCTGAACTTTGAGCCTCATCCTGGTGCTAGAAAGTTCCCAATTTCAGAGCATTTCAGATTCGGGGTTTGGGCATCAGGGATGCTCAGTCTGACCTGGACGCGTGACAGTGGCTTCAGAACCAGACGGGGGAACAGATTCCAGGGATGGAGGTAGAGGACTCAGTGCCTTGATCAGACGAAGTGGTAGACTGCACTGGCCCGTCACTGCCCAGGGGCCGGGGGACGAGGAACGCGGTGCTGGAAATGAGGAGGGAGTCCTCGCCACACATGCAGGGGAGAAAGTTCTGCAGCTGAGTGGGTGCTCTCTGGCTTCTCGCTGCAGGATGGGGAGGGTGTTGAAGGCACAGCTGTGCGGCCAAAAGGAACCAGAACTTGATTTTGAAACTCCTCTGCCTGTGGGATGGCAGGTGGTGCTATTGTGGCCACAAGCAGGCACCCAGGACAGCTCAGCCCAGAGAAGGCCGCCAGCGAGCCTGGCCACCCTGTGGCTGGAAAGGCCAGGACAGAGAGCGTGTGCCTCCCAGCCTCCAGGGAGCTGAGGGTGCGGTCCCTTGGCCTCCCCGGCAGAGCCCACACTGGAGAGAGCTTGTGGCAGGAATACCCCCCCACACACAGCTTCTCCAGGGGTGTGACCCCGGGGGAGGCAGAAACACCTCTGAAAAGGACTTCAGCTGCAGACAGGAATGCTGGGGGCCATGCAGCTGTGACATCCACCTGGGCAGGAGAGGGCACCCCCGAGTTCTCCTGGCAGGAGCAGCCTGGCTAGAGACTCAGGTGTCCAGGAACACCAGGGGAACTCGGGGCTCAGAACCCAGAGCCCAGAGAGCAGAGCCAAGGGCCAGGGGCAATCATTCCTGTGACTGCCAGCTGCCAGGGGGCTTCCCTGACCAGGTGGATTTCACAGCTGCATGGTCCAGTGGCCCTCCATGGCCCCCAGCATTCCTGTCTGCAGCTGCCATCCATGCCCTTCCACCAGCACGCTGGGCATGGTCGGGACATGGGTCACTTGCCTCTTTAGACTTCAGGATGGCACCCACGGAGCCTCCTCCACCCCCAGGCCTGCTTTGGACCAGGGTTTCTGCACTCGGAGCGGGTGCTGTCATGGCTCCCCCGGGAGCTCTGAGAAGGAAGGACGTTTTGCATCCAGGAGGTGCTAGCATGGGGCTCCAGAGAGACAGACTCTCCCGAGGTCTCTGCCATCCGTGCTCCTAGAACTTGTGCCCTCTGCCATCTTCCTCTTGTACGGAGGCAGGATCTGTGACTTCCTGCAGCTCCCAGGATACAGCCAAGGAAGGCCACCTCCTGATTGCCTCACATGACACGGCAGCACCGTCTTGCTGGCAGATCTCCACCTCGCTGGCCCCTATGAGGAAGGCTATGCGTCGGAGAGGCCTGAGGCCAGCCTCCCCAGCCACTGGCTAGGTCCAAAGGCCTCAGTGTGACAGCCCGCCAGGGCCCAGACCTTCCCAGCGGCCACATGAGCTGGGCAATGGATCCCCCCAGTCGAGCCTGCAGACGAGCAGCCAGCGCGACCAACTGCGTGACCTGCCAGGCCAGGCCAGGGTGCTTCCCACAGACACCACAGGGCACTACCCGGGTGTTGCCCTCATGTGCTGGGTCTGTGGTGCATAACCCAGCACCAGGTGACTGGCTTAGATGAGGCCTTTGCACACCTGGAGAGCACTTGAAATAAAACCACCTGGGGTTTCAAGAAACGTGTTAAGACTGCAAAGTGCTGTAGGACTGCAGGAGAGCCCTGGGCTCCTGGGACCATCAGCAGGAGCGAGGGCAGACCCAGGAGCCCAGGGCCCTGTGCTGAGCAGACCCACCCAGGTAGACGAGGCTGCCCCTCCTGTGTCCAAGTCCAGGGAAACAGGAGGGCCTCCAGCTCAGCTCAGGGCTGCAGATCGTCAGCGTGATGGCCAGTCATGACGTTGCTCCTGGCTGTCTCAATGCTGGCCTCCGCCATGGCCTAGAGAAACATTCGGGCTTTGGATGAGCACTTGGTCAGCTCTGGCCGCCATGGCAAAATAGCACAGATGGCTTCCCCAGGAGACGTGTGTGGTTCCTGCCCTGGAGGCTGGCCGCCCAGGAGTCTGGGTTCTGGTGAGGGCCCTGTTCCCACCCCACCGATAACCCTCCTCATTGTCCTCATGTGGGGGAGGGGAGGCAGAGAGACAGACTGAGACAGAGAGAAACAGAGGCAGAGAGATGGCGGCCAAGAGAGAGAGAAACAGGAGCTGAAGAGAGGGACCGAAAGGCGGGGAGAGGAGACAGACAGAAAGACACAGACAGAGAGGGCTTGTCTCTGACAAGAACACTGATCCCACCCACCAGGGCTCCTCCCTAGCACCTCTTTGATCACCTCCACAAAGGGTCTATTTCCAAATGTCACCAACCAGGAGTTGGGGCTTCACCACATGAACCTGGGGGGACACGATTCAGCCCTTAATTACACCCACCACCACCTGCAGGGGGCAGGGGGCTCTCTCTGCATCAGCCCCAGACAGCCTGTGGCCTGGGGCGAACCTTCTGTCACAAGACAGAGAACCGCTAAGTCACTTCTCAAATGTCCCCTGGTGCCCCTGCACACCCAAGAGCAGTGGTGTTCTGAAGGAAAGCGGGCCATGGTGAAGTGGGTTTGGGGCAACTGGAGGGACCCCTCCGAGGCTGAGAGCCATGTGGCAGGGAGGACACCCGGACACCGTGGGGACAGCTCTCCTGCTGGACAGGGTGAGGGCAGTTCTTCCCACCCAGATGGCACAGAGCCACTGTCCTGCAGGGTGCAGCCACTGCCTCTGGTCACAGCAGGCCAAGGTGGGTCAGAGCTGGCCCCCTCCTGCAGACGGAGGTGCCCCGGGAGCCCAGGCGGCGCTGACTCACACTTACCGAAGCCAGTCCCTGCCTGATTCACGTTTTATTGCTGCTTTATTGCAGGACTGAGAGGTCACCTCTCCTGCCAACCCCTGAGCAGCCAAAATGAGCAGCGTTTTCCTTCCTCTAGGAACCTGAGGGGCGTCAGGTCCAGCGGCACTGAGCTCCCCGCCTGAGCTCGTCACCCTGGGCAGCCGGCACAGAAGCCCAGGGAAGGACCTGGAGCTTTGCCCTAAGCCCCAGGGCAGACGGGAGCCCTCACACTAGGAGCCTGTGCCTCCAGCGGCCACCTGCTTGTCCCACAAGCCCAGCCCCTGGGCTCAGAGCAGCACCCACACACCCAGCCAGACGTGCCCCAGGCCTCTCTGTGCAGAGGAGCCTGCAAAGTGTCGTGAGAATGACCACGCTGGGCACGCGCTCTCTCCTACCTGGGGCGGCACATCACCACCAGAGCCTGGAACACAGCTGGCCTCCAAATAGATACAGCTGAGCTCGCCCAGACATGGTGGCCCTGGCAAAGAGACGGGCCCCAGCCCTGCGGCGAGAGGGGGAGACACGGTAAGGAGCAAGGGGACCCAGGACACCGTGAGCCAGCCTGCCCCCCTCCCTGCCTCTGACTGGCCCCTGTGAGAGCCTGTCAACCCTCTCCTCATCCATCTCAGTATCTGTGAAATAGGAGCAGGGAGCATTTCCCTCCAGAGCAATGGGGTCCTGGTGCTTTGTAGGAGCTGCTGGGTGGCACAGGGTGGCCCCCAGATTTCCCTTGACACACTGCCCAGCATGGGGTAAGCCTGGGCTCACAGGGCTGCTGCCTCTGGGCTCACCTGCTTTCCCACACAATGTAGCTGCATGGGAGGTCCAGTCACTGTGTGTGACACAGGACACTCTGGCAGGGGATGCCACATAATGCAGGACACTTGCTCTGGGGCTTCTAGTGAGACGGGACAGGGTCTCCTGGGGCCTGCCCCAGAGGTCAGCCACCTTACCTGCCCGTCTTAGTCCATCAAGGGGCACAGCCAAGCGCCAGCCCTGGGTCTCCACACAGAGCAGGAAGCTGCCTCCCAGCTTGGAGGCCGGAAGACCAACGTCAAGGTGTGCAGGCGGGGTGGCAGGTGAAGGCCCGCCCCACCAATGACAACTTGAGGTGGCATCCTGGTGTCCAGACACGGAAGAGCAGAAGGAGGGATTGAAGCCTCCTGCGAGGCCCTGGCTGGGTGCAGACCTTTTGGTATAAAAAGGGCCACGCATCTTCACATCGGCTCCCTCCTCCAGCTCAGCCCGGGCTTCTGGAGCATCTGAGACCACCGCCAGGAAAGTCAGAGCACACGCGGGGTTGGGCACTGGGCACTCAGGGCCGGTCACTGCTGAAGGGTGTGGCACATCCACTGTTTTAGTCAGCTGTTTCGCTGCTGTGACTCAGGGACCCGACCAGAACAACTGTAAGGAGGAAAGGTTTATTGGCGGGCTCAGGGTCTCAGAGTCTTCGTCCATGGAAGGCCGCTCCATTCCTCAGGGCTCCAGGTGGGGCAGAGCCTCATGGTGGGAGAGGGTGGCAGAGGGGAGCAGCTCACATCATGGTCAGGAAGCAGGGGGAGGCTCCACTGGCCAGATACAAGTATAGACGGAAGCCAGGCCCAGTTCCCACCCCCAGCCACACCCTAGCACCTCAGTTACTACTCAGTCAATCCCTATCGGGGATTAATTCACTTGGTTGGGTTAAGACTCTTACAACCCAAACACTTCTCCTCTGAACCTTCTTGCATGTCCCACATGGGAGCTTCTGGGGGGACACCCCACATTCCCACCGTAACGCTCACCCATGCAGAACTCTGGTCCACTTGTTACGACTTTGGCCAGGGAGGAACTGGGGGGTGACCATGGGAGAGACAGAGAATGCCCAGGCCCACGCCCAAGACTCAGTGGTCAGAGGGACAACCTTAGAGCTGGCCAAGCCAGGCAGGTCTGCTCAGGAAACCTTGGACCCACCCAGAAGAGTTTCACTCCCCAGTGCCCTCGGAGCCCACGGAACCTGCAGGTGTAGCCGCCTGAGCCTGGGAAAGCTGGACCACCAGACCCCTGCCCCTGTGGAGGCCTCTCCCTGAGACATGGCACCTGCCTGCCTATAACTAGGGTCAGGTGACATCGTGGCTGATGCAGAGAGAACGAGCCCAAAGCAAGGAGGCACCTGGGCACAGTGGACCAGGGGCCAGGGGGGAAGGGCACGTGTGATTAGGTCCCCAGAGTGAGGGAGCCAGGAGCCAGGTCATGGAATCATATGGGGTCAACGTGACTTGGGCACATTCTCCCAAGACGCAGGACGGGTACCCTGGCCAGGAAAGCACACCAGCCCCTTGGAGGTACGCAGTGAAGACCCACAGCTCCTGAGGGCCATCTGAAGAGAGGGTTTCGTGACTCTGCAAAGCAGCCTGCAGACACTGAGAACCTGACCAGGGACCCCAACCCTCAAGGCCTGGAGTCCGAGCCCCTGTCATAATCTCTCAAAGGACCCGCTACTCCCCAGACCCGCTGGGAGCAGTGCTGGGCACGAGCTGGCTGCAGGACGCAGGTCCCCCACGAGGCCTGTGCCTCCCACACCTGCTGCACACGCTAGCTGTTGGAGGAGGTCCCCCCACGCTGGGGTGGTCCCCAATGGCTGTTTCCAGTTGTGTGAGACTGGGTAGCAGATTCCCTCTGGCTCACCCAGGCGAGGCCCTGAATGACCACAGGGCAGGCCCTCTAGCTCCTCCCCTGGCCTGGCCAGGCCGACTCGGGTGCCCTCCACTCCCAGCTCCCTCCACCCTCCTCGCAGGAGAGACCAGGCCCGGCCTGGGAGGCCTGCGGTTTCCTCAAGCACTGACTGCAGGGCCGTGCCCATCTCCTGGGAAGGAGCCTCTGAAACTGCGTCTGCAGCCCTTCCCCTGCATGGCAGGGCCTCGTGGAACCCCAGTGCCACTGCGTCTGTGTCCCCTGAACCAATCTGCTCGGAGACCTGGGCTGCTCCATGTCTGGTCAGCTCAAGAGCCACCCAAAAGCAGAGCCTGTCCCACCATCAGAGGGGGAAGGCCCGTGGCTCCAGCCTGATCCAGCCTGCCCCAGATTCCCAGCCCCAGGGCAGAGGGCGGTTCCTCCATTCTTCAAGGCTTAGACCCAAGTAGCCAGCGGTAGAGTACGAGCAGTAGAGTAGCCAGCGGTAGAGTACGAGCAGTAGAGTAGCGAGCGGTAGAGTAGCGGCTCCCCCAGCCCTGGCTCCCCACAGCTGAGTCAGTCGTGGTGAAGGCCCAAGGTCACGTCCAGGCCACAGCTGGACCCTGACTCCTGAGGTCTGGGCCAAGAGTACAGTCTGTCTCCAGGTGACAGAGGAGAAGCCAAGCGTGCCTGGCGGTGGGATGTGGGGAAGGCATCCCTGTCCGTCCTCCTCCCTCCAGGGGTCCTGAGGCCTGGTGCCATGCTTTGCAGTATAGGCCAGGGACCCCTGGGGCTTCAGGCCAGGCCCCAGGCCTATCTAGAACCTTCTAGATGAATCCTCCCCCCAAGCTTGGGCAGGTGGGAGGGGCTACCACAGCACTTCCAGAGATTAAGTATCTAGGAAGTGCCTGGCTTCATGCATTCTCTCAGCCGCCCATTGTGCAGGTGGGAAAACTGAGGCTGGGTCCCAGAGGCATTTGCACAAGGCTAGGACCCGTCCCTCGAGTGTCTGGCACCAGAGCGTGGTCCTGCCCTCACTTCCACTGAGTCGTCTCAGAGCCGCCTTGCCCCTCGCACACCCAAACAGGCCCCTGGCAAGCTGTGGTGCGGCCAGCTCACAGCCCCAGGGCCTGCTGACGGCTCTGTGCTGGAGAAACTCCCGTGGCTTCAGGGGCAACCAGGGACGCCCACCCTCAGAATGTGTGGCCCTGGACAGGCAGGTTTCTGGTTGCACCCCAGGCCTGGCTCAGGGCCAGCCCACTTGTGTCTGGGCTTTAGGGTGAGTGCCCGCTTCAATGGGCACAAGGGGACCAATGGGACAGGGGTCCATGAGGGCTCCCAGATCAGCCCCAGTCCCTGGGGTGGGGACCTACCGTGGAGCAGGCCTGTGGCCCAACTCATCCTCTCCCTGCAGCCCAGCCCCCCTGGCTGCCCAGAGAAGGAGAGGGAAGGGTCATTTCCTGAACATGTTGGGAGGAAGGGAAAGTGTGCAGGCCCCTCCTCAAGGGGGTCCCAGACCTCGCCCTTGCCGGCCAGGAGCTGGGGTCCCCTGCAGGGGGCAGCACCCTTCCTTGCCTGGCCCCTCTTGCTCCTTCTCCTCAAGTCCTTCTTGGCTTCTGCCCCTCCTGTCCCCCTGGAGAATCTGCTCCTAGCCCAGCTTCTCTTTGGACAACAGGGAGGCCGGTCCCTGAGGAGCTGGCCAGGGAGGGGTGCAGCCAGGTCTCTGCCACCAACAGGACACTGCCCAGCTCTCCTGGCCTGGAAGGCTCTCCCGGCAGGTCTTCCTCACACCTCCGCAGCATCCAAGGGACCACGAGACAAGGCCCAGCCAGGAGCCATATCTGGGAGGTGCACCAGGCAGAGGCAGCAGCAAATGCCAGGCCCCAGACTGCTGTGCCCTGAGGGAAAGGTGCCCAGGGGGCCATGGGACACTGTGAGGGGGCAGACCAAGCCAGAGAGGTGTGGCTTCCTCCAGGTCCCCAGGCCAGAGGTGCCCTCCTCCTGTCCTGTCAGACACACCCAGGCTCACACACAGGGACACCTCTTGCCTGAGTGGAGAGCTTGTGTGCCATGCCACTGACCATGACACCCTCCCAACAAACGCACATTGAGCACCAGCTGTGTGCCTCGAGCTGGGAGTGGGGGCTCAGCAGGCTCCAGCCAACAGCCTCCTATGGGGAGTCCCAGCAGGGCAGGGGCCAAGGTCATCTCACTCCATCCTGAAGCGTCTCCAAGTCACACTTTGGGTGTGTTCCCCAGTGCAGGCTAATGTGGGGAGCCCACTGTGACAGATGGCTGGCAGCAGATCTCAGGACATGCTGGGGCGTTTGCACAGGACCCCCCCCCATAGTGTCTGCAGATGCCTGGGTACACAGCAGGTGCTTAGGGCTGCTCCCGCCAGGGCAGGGAAGGCTGTGGAGACAGGCTCTGGGAGGAGCGTTGGGGGTCCATGGGCTCAGCAAGGCTGGGCAGGGGAGCTGGGCTTATCCTAAGGACAGTGAGGAGCCCAGGCAGCTGTACCCAGGACACGTCATCTCACAGAAAGGAAGGCTCTCACCTGGCCTCACGACCCTCCCCTGACTCAGCTGGCTTCCTCGGTGACAGTCCCAAACAAGCACAGAAGTCGTGTGGCCGCATGGACGGGGCCGACGCAGGCACGCAGCGTCACACAGTGACGGCTCACAGCAACACAGAGGCAGGTCATCAGCCCAGGGCCTCCCCCAGTCGCCCCACTCCTGGGCGCCCCATCCAGGAGCGAGCCCAGAGCAGCACCTGCAGAGCCCAGCCTCACACCCCCAGGACACCAGCACTCAGCAAGCAGGTGGCCTCCGGGTGGGCCAAGAGGAAGGCAGGCAGCCCGGGGCCACGGCCCCCCAGAGCTGCCTGCCAAAGCAGCCGGGTCCCAGCAGCCTCACGGGGGCCACACGGAGAGGCCGGAGACTCAAAGCAGGCACTGAAGGACGGGTTTCCTAGAGCCGGTGCAGGAGAAGCCCCAGGGCTGAGGAAAGCCTGGTGGGGGGAGAGTAGCACGCCCTGTCCACAGGACACTGCCCAGCCTGTCTGACTGCCCAACTGCGCAGGCCGGCCCCCGCGTTCCTGCCCCTCCGGTGGCTTCTCCAGCCAGGATGGTGGTGAGGCCGCCCAGGGCTGGCCCAGGGGAGGGAGCCCACTCTTGGTAGGGGCGGCTCCAAGATGTGATTCTGCAGTCAGAGCCCTGGGAGGCTCCGGGCCTGCAGGATTCCCAGAGGACAAAATCACTCAATTCTAGACTAATTGGCATTAAACTGGACATCCTAGTGGAGCAGGTTGAATTCCAAAGTATCATTAAGCAAAACATCCACCACAGCTGAGGAGGGGGCCAGAGCCAGTGGAAGGCCTTTCTCTGGAACCAGAGAGCGAGACACTTGAGGAGTGGGGGAGTGGACACTGATCTTGCCCTGCCTGGGCCCGCTGCGCTGCCCCCTGTGTGGCCCCTCTGACCTCCTGGGTCTGTTTCCGCCCCCGGGTAGGTTTGCTCTTCCCCTCGGCACCCTCCAGAGGAAGTCCAGAGTCCAGGCTGAGTCTCGCTGCTCCGTGCCATTGGGGGTAGGATCTGTTCTCAGGGGCCACAGCAGGAAAGAGAGGGTGCCCACCTCCTCCCCAGCCAAAGGGAGAATGCATGGGGGCCACAGGGAAGTCCTGACCCCCAGGGCTCCTGGTACACCTTGGGTGTCAATTAAGCTTGAGTCTGAGCCTACCCAGGGGCCCAGGTACCACCTCTGGCCTGAGGGTGGGGGGCACAGCAGGGTGGTCCGGGGCCCTGGGGTCCAACTCCAGCTGCATATGCTGGGCACACTGGGGCTCACGGCAGGACCCTGGGTCCCTCCGCCACAGGGATGTGCCCTCCCCGCTGCTGTCCACACCCCTGTCCTGGCAGTGACAGGCACTGATGGAGCCTCTGCAGAAGTACCAGGGAGCCAGTGCAAAGCTGGAACTCAGGGAGGCGCTGAGTGACCTGCCCCAGGCACGCAGCTCTGAAGGGCCAGGCCAGGCCAGGCTGGACCTGAGCTGCCGAGAGCCTCGGGGTGGAGGCGGAGCTTCCCACAGCTCTACCCCTAAGAGCACAGGGCTGCCTGGGGAAGGGGCTCGGGCCCAGTCCAGGGGCCCACCCACCACCTCAGGGACAGCCAGGCAGGAGGCCAGGGGAGACCACAGAGCTCCTGCCACCAGGGCTGAGGGCCAGGCACACACGGGGCCTCCGTGCTCACCCCTAGGCCCCCACAGCATCTAGGGCCACACATGGGAGGGTGGGCTTGGGGCAGCCACAGAAGCTGGGGGAGGCTGAGGTCCACAGTCTGTGCACCGTGGTCCCACAGGGTCTCCTGCTCAGGAGAGCCATGGTCAGGAGGACCCATCCCGTGCCCAGGGAGACCCTGCTTGTTTGGATGCTCTGGGCCGCCCTCTAGAAACTCCTCATGACTATGTGGACATGAGGCCCCATGTCCTCCTAGTGCACTGTGCTCCGCAAATCTGAAGGGTCCAGCTCCCACCCCAGGTGTAGACCCGGCCCTTGTCCTGTGCCTGGGCTGCCAGCTCTGAGGTGGGGCTGGGGCCCCATTCCCAGGGTGGGCTGGGGTGGGGAAGAAAGAGGGGCAGACCTCCAAAGTCCTGGGTGGATGTGGGCTGGGGAGAAGAGCCGGAAAACGGGGCCAGGTGAGAACGGACCCTGTGCCCGAGGCTCGTGCCCTTTCTCACAGGGACGGCCCTCCCTCCCCGGCAGGCCAAGGCTCCTGCAGAAGCCGCTGCGTGCTTTCCGAGGTGCTTCAAGCCTTGTTTTGGCAACTGTGCTCCTCCATGGCCAGAGTCTCCCTGACAGGAGGCCAGCCTGACCCAGCGCCTGGACCCCGGCCTGTCAGTGGGGAAGGGCCCAAGTTCACCCCCTCAGGGCTCTCGGAGCCTCTCCCTCCCAGACACTGACCTGGGGCAGGCGATGCTACCTGCCCTCTTGTGGGCCTCCAGCCTCTGCAGGGGACCCACAGTCCCACTGGCACCATCTGGGCACTGAGGTGACGCTGGGCTGATGCCGTCAGGCCAGCCAGCGTAGACCTTCATGTGCAGGGGAGAGACTGAGGCCCAGAGGGGGAGGAGCTTGCCACGGTCTCAGCAAGTGGCCAGCCGGGTACCATCCGGCCTTCCAGTGTGGGCCCTCAGGTGGCCAGTCTCCCCAGTGCTCCCTCTGGTGCCTCTAAATTGACCCAAGGGCAGAGACCCAAGACCCAGGGAGCAACACAGACTCCACTCCGCAGACCCCGAGGCTGAGGCCTGGAGAGGTGGGCAGACCTGCTGTGGTCACTCGCAGTGCCAGCAGAGCAAGGGTCCATGGCACCAGGGCTGCAGCTCGGTCTGTCATGGCCACCTGGGCACACTCAGCCTGCGAGTGGACAGGGCTTCAGGTGGGCACAGAGGTCCCAGCCTCAGCCTGCAGGGTGCAGGGGCCTGAGGCAAACGCGGACAGTCTGGCCTAGGGACTTGGGCCCAGTTGCTTTAACCCCATATGATTTGGAACTTAATGTCTCCCAAAGGCCATGTGCTGGCTCCATTCCATTTCCAGTGTCCCCAGCTCAGCCCCTGCAGAGGCCCAGACCACCCATACTTCAGGGTGCCCAGTGCCAGGTGACCTCTCCTCCCAGCTGCAGGTTTTGCAAGGCCATGAGAGCCAAGGCCAGTGGGGCCCAGGATCTGAGCCAGGGACGTGGGTCCAGAGGGGGCAGAGGCCGAGTGGCCCTTGCACAGACACACAGAGGCCAGCCTCGGGAGCCACACAGAGAAACAGGCCAAGGTCACCACATGGGCCTCCCAGGGAGGCAGAGGTCCAAGAGAACTCTCCTCTCTCTCCAGCATGTCCCCCCACCCAGGAGCCCCATGCGCTCCCCCACTGAAGCCACCGTAGGTATGAGGTCCTTGCTGGTGAGAGTCACAGCTGGGAACCCCACAGTTTCTCACGCCCATGAGGTCTCTGTGGGGGCTCCAGCTCATGGGGAGGAAGTCGGTGTGGAAGGCTGCCTCCCATTCTGGTCTGTCCCATGGCCACCCAACCCTGGTGTCCCCTGCCTCTCGGGAGGTGTGCAGAGCATCAGGAGCCCTCCTCAGCCTCCCCCAAAGCCCCCCACCAGGACGACTTCAGGGATGGCGCAGGCCACGGTGGGTGATGGACCCTGCTAGGACTGCCACCCACGCCCAGGGCAGCTCCCCTCTCCTGCCTGGCCACACGGTCCCCATGCCTTGACATGCGTCACCTCAGACCCCGCTGGATACCCCTGCTGGGCCAAGCTGGAAGCAGGGAATAAGGGGACTTGGGGACAGCCCAGTGGAGAAGAGGACTGGCCACTTGGCCCCAGGCTTAAGTCCCACTTGGGCTTCACCTGGGGGCTTTCACCAGAGTGGCAGGGGAGGGGTCAACGCAGGGCCAGGTGGCCAGGGGTGGGAGGTCTGGGAAATTGCTATTGCCAAGGCCCCTGAAGATCCTGGGACAGTGGTGGTGGCCTCAGGGGAAGTGGCCATGGGACAGACCAGAATGGGAGGCAGCCCCCCACACCCACCTCTTCCCCAAGACCTGGAGCCGCCCACAGAGCCCCCCAGACATGGGTCCTTCCAAACGGGACTTGAATGGAACCTTCATTCCTCCTTTAAAAGTTCTTATTCTTTTCATTTAAAAGAAGCCTTGAGTGTCCACCTCTCTGGGAGTGTTCGGGACAGATGTTAGACCCACAAAAACCTACACTAATACCCAGCTTTCCAGAGGGGGCAGCAGTGCCGGGGCAGCATGCCATGGACGGACGCCTGGCAGCCCAGATGACCGGAGGCCAGGCCAACGTGTGGGGCTGTGGGGCTGTCTTACAGGGTTATTTTTCCTGCTCCAACAAACAGATGTCCTTGTCCAGCTGTCACCTGTGTTCAGGCAGGAACCTGCACAGGAGCCCGAGGCTTCCCTTATGCCCTGGTGGCGGGGAGCAGGGCTCAGGCACAGAGCAGAGGCAGAAGGGGCAGTGGACCCTGAAGCCAGCGGGGGATGTGCCCAGCCTGCCCTCCTGTTCCGTCCCCACCCCACCCACCCCTAACTGGGCACTAGCTTGCTCCACAGGGAGCCTAGAGTCCTGGCCCATTCTATGGCCCTCTCCATCTCTGCTTCCTCCACCCTGGCCCCGACTCTCACCTGAAGCTCCCCTTGGCCCTCCAGCCTGCACACTGTCCCAGCTCTCCAAAGAGGTGACCCAGGGCACAGACACGCCCGGCTGTCAGCGTGGTCACAGGAGCCTTGTCATCCACATGCTGCTCTAGGCTGGATGCTGGCTGAAATCTTCACGCAGCTTCCAGAGGCCACAGATGGACTTCCATGATTATGCTCAGGTCACAAGTGAGGACACAGGCCACACAACTGGGCAGCAAAGCGTAGCATTCTCGCTGTACCCTCCTCTTAAGCCACATGCCCCGTGAAATCCTGGCAGGACCCATAAGCTCTGCAGCCCCCGGTGGCAGCATAGCAGAGGTGTGGGCACCCGGCGCACCAGGGACCTGTTGAGGACAAGAACCATGCATCAGAGAAAATGGGCCACAGGTCAGTGCCACAGAGCTATGATGGAGAAGTGGCTGGTCTCACTGCTGGGAACTGGCTGAGCCCCAGAGGACAGTCTGAGGGCCAGGTGACCGGGACAACACAGGGAGGTGGTGGGGGACAACAGGGCTGGCTCTTCTGCCTTGGCCTGGTGGTTCTGCCTTGCCCTGTGGGAGCTCTTGCACAGGGGCCACCAGCTGCCATGTTATGAGGACACCGGGCAGCCCCATGGGGCCAGGTGGCGAGGAAGCAGCCTGCCTTCCATGCATGAGCCGCCTCGGCCGCCTCCCTGGCCAGGTGATGGTCACATGGGGCACCTGGTAACATCTCCCTGCAGCACCTCCAGGACCCTGGGCAGAACCACATGCCCACCAAGCTGGCCCCCGAATCCTGACCAGAAGCTGGGCACCATGGTTCCTGCTGCTCGGAGCCCTTCCATCTGGGGCGGTTCAGGACACTGAAACAGAACTCGGACACGGCCCGCACCATCCACTTGCCCCAAAGAGAGGGGGCGGGATCTCCCCAGCCTCAGACCTTGTCCCGTGTCCTCAGTGTCTGCCATTCGGCCCCAGTGGGCATGTGGCAGGCCTCCACCCTCCCCTGGGGTGGGCTTAGGGGCAGCATCTGGGAGTAAAAGTCACTCCTGGGGTCCTCTGCCAGGAACAAGGATGACATGGCTTGTCCTCAGACACCTAGGACATAGGAGCAGCTAGGTCCAGCTCTAGCCTAGGGAGGAAGAGGAGGCCCCACCTGATCCCAGGCCCCAGGCCTTCCTCCGACAGCAAGGAGGGTAGGAGGAAGTGGTGGACTGCCACATGAGGCCTGCCACCCGCTGACCACTGCAGTCCAGGACCCTCTGACCAATCAATTCTCTCACCAGCAGGGACATGACTTCTCAGAGAGGGGGCTGTTCCTCCCTGCTGATGAGTTCCGGAGCCTTCCGTCCCTGCCAGGCACCAGTCTGCCGCCTCCCTCTCATCAGGGTCCCTGGTGCAGAGGACAGTCTGAGGCAGAGCCATCTGCTTGGTGGCAGAGTTTCTGGAAGGAAACAGACCGCCCAGTCCACTCACCAGGTGGCAACTTCTGCTGGGAGAAGAGTGTCCTGGGACCCAGACGGTCCTCACACCCTCCTGCTCGGAGGCCCCAAGCCCTGTCAGGTTCCCTGGAAGCTAAGACCCCCAAGGCACAGGTCCTGTGGCCCAGCAGTTCCCGTTCTGACTCTCTGCTTGGGAGAAATACTTGGAAAAGGTTGGGCAGAAGGCGCACGGGGGCCCGACCAGTGAGATCCCCAGGAGAAGAGCCGGCATGCCCAGCAGCCCTGCCCGATCAGGGGTCCAGAGCCAGGGACAGAAAGAATGGACAGCTCCATGGACAATGTCTGGGAAAGAGGGCCCAGGCTTGGCTGGAAGGCGAGTGAGCTGTGATGTCTCCAAGTGTCAGGAAGAGCATGAGAGCACCAGAACATTCCAGAAGGGTAAGCATCCAACAGCAGGAGACCACTGAGCTCACCTCTAGAAGGTCCCTTCTACGCACATGCGTGTGTTTCTGCTCAGCCTCCCTGGCTGAGAAGCAGGGGGTCTGGGCAGAACCAGGCTCGGCCACTAGCGGACTGTGTGATCTCCAGCCGATTCTTCCCCGCTAGGCCTCGGTGTCCACCCAGCAGGTCTCTCAGAAATGGAACCTCAGGAGGCCAGAGTGTACCCATGCACACAGGTCGCCAGGGGTGGAAGCTCCCAAAGTGGAGGCCAGGTGAGTGCAGAGGGTACATGGGCATCCAGCCCACCTGTCCCCAGGGTCAGGGTCAAGGTCTAGCACCAGGCCCAGGCCGAGGCCAGCACATCCCACCATCTGGACAGTGTATGCAAGCAATAGCAGGAAGATGAGCAGCTGGCCTCCCCGCACAACCACAGAGACCGCAGTGATGGCCAGCACCCAGCCTGGCCCACGGTGTGCCGGGGGCAGAGCAGGAGGTGTCTAGGGGACAGGAGGACACTGTCACAACAGCAACCAAAACGCGAGACTCCACAACCACTGAGAACGTGGAAGTCCGAGGACTGTGGCAGGGTCTGCCAGAGGAGGGGGAAACCCAGGCAGGCCAGAGCGCTGGAGGTTCCTAGAGGAGGGGCCGCAGGGGAGGCCACAGAGCCACCCTGCAGAAGCCCTGGGGCCATGTTGCAAAGGCCCTGGATGGGGGCAGCTTCCCCAGAGCCACTCTCCTGCAACCAGGCCAGCCTGGAGGTGCCCTTCCAGGTCAGAGACCCAGCACCCCCTCCCCAAGCTGCAGGGGAAGCAGCAGGAAATGAGACCCCAAGCTTGTCTCTCGGGCTGACCCTGAGCCGCAGGCCACCGCTGCAGACCCCTGCACTGCTCAGCACTGACCTCAGTGCACAGCCTGGGCTCCAGAGGCTGCCATGCATCTCCATGGGGAGCGCTCAGGGCTCCAGGGAGGGCTTCTGACTGGCCCAGCAGAGAACTGGCAGGGGACACAGGGAGACAGGTGCCTCTTCTGTGGCTGGGGTCTGTGGCTGGGGGTGTTTCAGGGTGGCTGCTCTCAAGCCCAGCAGCACAGTGAGCCCTGCGTGCTGTGTTGTCCAGGAGGAGCACACCCAGCTCTAGGCCACCCCTTGTCCTGCTGCAGGCCGACCTGGGCAGTCACTACTTCCTCCCACCCCAGGCTGGAAGTCAGGTCCCTGTGGAGGAGCAGGGGTCCAAAACCTGGTGTCTCCCCTCCTGGGGCTGCGGCTCCACCCAGGCCAAGGGAAAGTCCAGTCGCAAGAACAGCGCAGCCCTGCCAGGCCCGCTGGAGGTGCGGGGTGACAGCACACTGGTACTCGGCAGCCAGCAGCTACTTTCCACGGAAAAAATGCCTTCAGGCCCCCCAGAGGCCGGAGGCCCAGCCATGACTCAGGGCTGTACTGCCACCTACGGCCTCCTAGTCAGACAGCCAGCATCCTGCCCCCGCCCTGCCCCTGGCTCCAGGCAGGGCCCCAAGGTCAGTCCCCCTGGCCCCACAGGAGACCGTGACCTCTGCCTCTCACCCCGGGGGCAGGCTGCAGCCCACCAACCTAGCCAGCACGGCCCTGTGACTCGTGGCAAACTCAGCTTCCCATCCCATGCCCTGCACTCAGGGAGACTGCGGAGTGGCTTCCAACTGGCCCTGAGGTCCACAGGCGACTCGCTCAGGGGAGACCAGCCAGGGGCCGCAGGCCCTGAGTCCCGTGGGGCTGAGACCCAAGAGTCAGGCCATGGTGCCAGGGCGGGCCCTGTAGATCTGAGCCCAGTCCCTTGGCAGGCCCAGAGGGGCCTTGGCTCACCTGCCCGGGTAACTGGCTTCTCAGATCTGTTCCCAGATGCATTCCTGAGACTGAACACGGAGATGACAAGGCCAGGCCACCTGTCCAACCCTGCCTGTGCCGTCCTACGAGAGGACAGCACTCACGTCCAACATGTTGGCACGTGGCAGAGAGCCCCTCCTGCCCCGTAGCCCCCAGTTCCAGCTGGGGGAGGGGCCTGGGGCAAGCCTACAGGTGAAGCTGCGGCCCTTCCCCTGAAGGCTGGGCTCGGCCGGGGCGGCCAGGGGTCAGCACCCTCCTCTGTAAGCTGAGGACAGCTGTTGTTCTTCTAGAGTGGGCAGAGCTCCAGGCTCAGAATCTTCCCTGGGCATGAGGGACCGAGGGACGTTGCCATCCGCAATCTTCCCATGGCTCATAGTGACCGTGGGGACACAGAAGGGGCACAGAAGCCTGTGCCCACCACAGGATGAGTGCTGCAGCTAGGAGCCCTGCAGGCCTGCCAGGGGGGTGCCATGCCTGGCCCTGGACCCCTCCCCATGCAAAGGCATGGGGTGGAAGGCAGGGCCTGCTTGAGGAAGGGCTGGACGCTTCCATCCCCAGAGGCGGCAGTGGACGGGCAGACAGAGCTGAGCCTCCCGTCCATGGAGGCTGTGGGGAAGAAACGGCCCAGTGAGCCCCAAGCAAAGGACCCCAGGCTGCCGGCCTCCGCCTCTCCCTTGCCGGGAAAGACCCCGAGGTCCACACAAGGGCCAGGAGCTGCCGGGGACGTGCTGCACGTTGTGTGTCACCAGACCACCTTCATATCTCCCCACTGACGTCAGCGCGTGGTCGGCAGCGGCTGCGAGCCTCGCAGCATAATTGCAGTTGTCTCTGCAAAGTGAAGTCAGATGGCCGCTCCAGCCGGCGCCGCCCCACGCCTCTCCCAGTTGTGTTCCTTGGACCTCCTCCAGATGTTCCCTGCAGCAACAACCTCCAAAAATTTACAGAAAGAGAGCGAGCCGCTTCCTGCCTGCCGGGTGAAGTGGCGACGTGGCGGGGCGGGGGCGGCCACGTCCGCAGGCCGGGCGGGGAGCCGCCACGTCGCAGCCAGGAGCATCTGGCTCGCTGGGTCCGAGTCTCGGACACCCAGAGGACACGGCAGAGGGGCCCCGGGCGTTGGGCCGATGCAGGCCCCAGATGCTGAGGTCCTGGCCAGGCCGTGGGCCGAGTGGAGGCCATGGCCGACAGGGCAGGGCAGTGTGGTGGGAGCAGGCTCTGGGCTCAGGCTGACCTACACAGGAGTGGCAATGGGGACCTCTCACCACAGTCTCCGACTAGACCTGGCATTGGGGCCACCGCCTGGGCCAGTGCACCCAGAGGCAGGTGTGGCCCTGCCACTCACTGGAACTGAACAGGGAGGGTGGACGCCAGGGGCTCATGAAGAAGGAGTCTGAGCCTTGAGGGGGGCCCAGGGCACCTGGGGGCACAGGGAAACAAAGGCCTGGGGCCTGACCCGTAGCTGCGCAGCCACAGCCGCCTCGGGAGAGCCACGTTCTGGGCCCTGCTGTGGTCAAGACTCCTGCACACCCTGAAGCCGGGCAGTGCAGGGCTCTCCCGAGCCACAGGAGGGAGCCCAGTGCCCTGGGGACCCGCCTGCCCTGCCCGGTCAGCACAACCCCAGCACCTGCCTCGGCGGGCAGAGTTCCTGCCCAGGTTCCCGGGGAGGCACCCCTCCACCTCTGCACTGTCTGCCTCCCACGCCCAGAGGATTCAGAAAATGGGGTGGGGAGGGGGCTCACCGTGTCCCCTGAACTCATCTCTCCTCCTGTACCACCTGGGTCCCAGGCGATGTCTCCAGTGGGCAGAGCAGAGGGGTAGGGAAGGCTGGTGGAGGCCTTGGCCAGATGTGGAAAGGTGTGAGAGCAGGGCCTCTGGAGCCCAGCTGGGACAGAAGCAGGACCTGAAGGCCACCCTGCTGCCACCTCCCATCAGCTGCCTTCGGGGCCCGTCCACGGAAGCTTGACCCTGC